TTGCAATTTCTGCGCAACACACTTGCGCTTAATGTACGTTACACTGACGCTGGTTTATTTTACTCTGATCCTGCCAGCAGCAAATCCTACTAAAAAAGAGAAAACATGAGCAAAATATGAACAATGCCCTCAACTCTTTTGCGCCTTCGAACGATGTTGACATCAACCTTGGAGGAGAGTGCGTTTCAAGCAAGTTTCAGAGACCAGACGGTGTTCTTCTACCAGGTCAGGAAGGTTCCAACTCGATTTCATCAATTAATCAGCCCCACCAAGTGGATCATACATCGGTACAAGTACACCAGTCTTCCTATGGTGTGAGAGAGCCCTCGTACTTACACGATGGATCTAGAATCGCAATGGGCTCAGAGGCTTACGCCGGTGAAGCTCAAAGGTTGGCCTCTACTGCATTTGCATCATCGGATTTTAAACAGGAGAAGCCTGTAGTTGTTTCTTGCGAGGAACCCACACATTCTAATGATGGCTCAGAGACTTTAGCCAATGGCTTGAAACAAGTATCCAATTCTAAATTTAACTTACCAGGGCGTAAAGAGTACATACAACAAGAACTAGACTATTTTGATCATGTTATCCAACGTTTTAATGAGGAAGGAGGCCCTATACCTCCACAGCATCAGACCAATGCTTCTGTGCCAGGATGTGAAGATGATTTAGGTCAGGTGCCTGAAACTCAGCCAGGAACTCACCACTCTAAATCACATCAGCTGAAAGAGATTGCCCGTTTGAAGACGCAGCGTGCACAAGCACAGCAAGGTGTACCTTACATTGACAGTCAAAGTCATGTAAACCAGCAGTTTCCACACCAGCATGCAGCCCAGTATTCCATTGGTTCAACAGGACAACAAGCACCTTCCTTACAACATCCTTACACAGCAGGCAAATATCCTGGAGGCATTCCTTTGATTTCTAATGATCAACAGCAAATACTACCAGAGCCAAATCATCCAGTAGCCTCTCTTGCTGGTGGTTTTCCCCGGCAATTTGATTCTCTTCAGTATCCGAGAGGGCCTGCATCACAGTCACAGCATCAGCAACAACAGCAACCATTTTATGGCTATTCTCAAACCAGTGCACCATCATCAAAACTATCCCATATACCATCGCAAGTTCAACAGTTATATTCCCAAAGGTTTTCAAGCCAGCCAGTTATACCTACAACACAGGGAGCACGGTTAGTCACACCACTTACCTCACCTGATTTAGCAAGATACTCCATTTCTAGGTCACAACCACAATACCAACGCCAAACCTCAATGCCACCTTTACAGAGCCAAGCATTCCTCAACTCTGATACACAATACCAATGTCAAGTAGCTGGCTTTCAAGAAGACCATCCTCGTTTTTCCAGTCCTGTAGCTGACCCAAGCACTGTTTATCATTATCAGCGGAGAAACTCCTTCCCTATTTACCACCGCAATAATACCCAAACACAAGGAAATCTCTCTCATGGCATGCAGCAAAATTTGGGATCTAGCCAAGCCAGTCTTCTAAGAGGTGTTTTGCAAAACCCCTCTCAAAATATGAATCCCCCAGACAGAGATTCTTTTCTGATGAATCCAAACTTAAATATGTCTTTGCAAAGTACCATACAATCAAGCTCTGTTTTGACTGGGAGGTCCCCTACAACAAATGGAGATTTGAACCCAGGAGTACCAAGGTCACAACATTCATCTGTTATGTATAGAAACAATGCTCCTCTTAAGTCTACTTCATTGTTACAACAAGGAGGTAAATTTCAAGGTGCAAGTAATGCAAGAAAGGGCACACTGGATGGTAACATGTCAGTTCTAACTCCAACATCTGTGGCACTTGGGGATATGAATGAGCGACAATCATCACTGGCAAGCTGTGATGCACAGTTTAGTGCTTATTCACCACTGAATGCACTTGATAAAGCACCATCATTTACTTCTCTTTTGGAGCAGTCTGCAATTAATCAAGGTAATCTAGAAACCACATATACTGGGTCAATACCAAACTTGGATTTGCTTGGAGAGATTTTAGGCCAATGATAATCCAGGCAAAACAAGCTTACTTCAAAGGAATGACTAAGTGCATGCCTAAGTTATATGTTAGAACTTCACAAATAAGAAATAATAGGTGGCAGACTTAGCCTTGTTCATGAGTACAAGTCAAATTTAATGGAAAGTAATCAATGCTTTACATTGCCTAATTTCATACCGTGCGGGGGCCTGGCACTACCGGATTTTCCCAGACTTTTTAAAAAGTCCAGTTTCAAAATGGCGGATAGTCAGAGTAAAAACTCAAACGAAAGCATTCTCCTTTGAAGAAATATTGATCAATATTCTCTTGGAGAATCTGTCTAAACTTAGTAAGGAAAGGATGCGGTATTTCTGCCATGCCCTGAAGCTAAACTTAAGGAGCGGACACTCAGCAAGTGCAAGCAATTGTTTGATGAACAGGTCGCTCGAACCAAACATGATTATAAATTTTCTACAGCAAAGGATTCTCTGTTTAATTCTACCCGCATATGAAAAGTAGAGGATCATTGTGGGAAAGAACACAGATGTGGCATGATTGTGCATGTACCAATCATAGCCCAAGTACGCTGTAGCAAAACTTAAAAGGGCAGTACGGAAGGGCTTACTTGGATTATTCCCGTCGCGGAAAAGAGTAATGTCCGTGAAAGGTAATGAGTGTAGTGAACTTTGTGGCATTATGTATGTTAAACCTAGTGATGTTCACATGAAGGAAGATAAGGGACTAGTCTATACTCAGTGCATGCTAGCCAAAAGGTAGATGTACGTGACATTCTTGATTGTAATTACAAGCTGATTGCCCAAATTACAGGAACTGCAGTGTTACCGGACGAGAAATGCCTCTCAAGTAAGACTTAAGTATACTTGCTTTTATCCATGTTCAGTGAGAATTGTTTCCGGTCTGATCTTTAGGATTGCTACTCAGACCGTACGCAGCGACGGAGAGAAAATCTAATGTAAGCCTTGCCGACCTAATATACAATGTTGCCCTTTCACTCGGGTCACTCTGGCGTGTTTCGTGTTTTGGTAGTTTTTATTTTACGGTTTGTAAAAACAGGTCCCCCCCCGCTTGCTTATCATTCCCCAATATTCGGTCGGATCCAGGGCCGTAAAAAGAGCTAAACTCGACGGTTCTTTGTTCAAATTTTTTGTCGAACAATTCGGGAATCCTTCCAATACTTCCAAGTAGCGGAAGTCTCCAATTAGATCTTTCTTTTCTCGAAATTTTTAATCGAGGTTCTTTATCACAGTAAAACAACTGTTCTTATATTTAGAATATTAACTTTCTGGAGTAATCTGGCCCTTAATATCGTTTCAACTATACGCAATGACCTTTGCTTTACCTTCTGTTTGGAAGCCATTTTTAATCCGGAATTTAAAAAGTCCGGAAAATCCGGTAGTGCCAGGCTCCCGTGTGGCATGAAATTAGGCAATGGTGAATGACAGAGAGCAAAAAGGGACAGCTATTAATTTTTTTTCTAAATAGTTAGTATTATTTGTCTTTCTCTCTTTGTTTTGATTTTCTTGACATGTGACAGATAGAAACATCTGTCAGTCAGAGTTACAGATGTATACAGATGTACAATAATGTAATTGACAATCTGTTCATTTAGTTTTTGTGTAGACAAGCCATCCCATCAGTCAAATCTTTTGCACAGTATCTTTTCAATTCTTTTATGTACATGTAAGGTCAGTAATCATTGATGCTATCACTATAAGTTCCAAAATTAAGTACAGTTTAAACTTTGCATCTCATGGTAAACATTTTGATTTAAGATACCCAAAAGAGCTTTTGTCCAGATCTTTGCACTTGTCACCAGGGGTTTCATTAAGAATTGTAGTAGCAGGAGAAGAGTGTAAAGTAACAGGAGAATATTTTGCCAGAGCGAAGCCCTTTCCCGGAAAGAGCTTGAAAATGAGTCAGGAAACCCTGCTGAGATGGCTTTTCCTTCTGTCTCATAGCAAATTTTATTTCTTGTAGCTGCCTCAGGGAACAAAAAACTCCGCATACCTCTACATGGTTTCAAAACATTTTTTCTTCAAATTAATAGGCATACTGTTAAATTATGATTGACTTCTAACCCTGTTACACACTCCTAGAGTTGTGACTTACCAAAGAGTGAAAAGAAAATAATTCTCAATAGAGTGTTTTCACATGACGTCACGACAGCCATATTGGTGTCCCAAACCAATCCTGTGGGAGTTGAACTCTTTTCTTATGCAAATGCTTTTTTTGTTCAAATAAATTTGCATAGATGCTGGCTACGTGAGTGAAAATGCTCTATAGGCTTTAACTTCAACTCAATATTTTTCAGATGTTTTTAATAGTGAAAGCACGAGACGTGAGAAACTTTTCCCATCTCTGTTGGTGACACGTGCTTGCGCTAGAAGGAGCACATTTAAACAAATGCGCTATTATTCCAAACCTTCGGTTTATTAGACGATTATTTTGTTGAATATCGATGAATATCTCTTCTTTTTTCCTCTGCTGTTACAATTTATAATGTGCTGTTTTAGAAGGCATTGGTTGTCTTTACACTAGGCTGTTAAGTAAGACTTAAGAGCTGCTAAGTTTTACTTAACCAAGAATGCGTGTGTGAAGGCCTAAGTAAAATCTCAAGTAACTTTACTTTGCATCTCATTCAAGTCGGAAAGTTGAAACGATTCAAGAAAGTTTCAAGTGACTTGAAAACCATCCTTAAAACCGACTTAGCGAACTTGCGGTTTCTTGAGCTTTGAGAATTGCGAAGCATGTCAGTCAATCTTAATTATGTTGCATGAGAAAATAGGCTTAAGTAAACCTGAAGAAAAAAAAATAGGTTTTGTGTGAAGCTTTCTTTTACTTTAAGAATTTAAAATTTACTTGTCTTGAAATATTTCTTAGCTTATCTAGGCTCTAGTTTAAAGACCACCATTGTTAAAATAGAAAAAGCTCAAAATTTTCATTTGCTTCATAGTAATTTGATACTCTGTCATTTATGTACGGTACACATCGGCAAATTTATTTCCATAGCAGTTCACAAAGAAATCATTTTTTTATTCATCAAGGTGTTTTGCCTGGTAACTTTGCCTCTGTGATTGTTCTTCAAGTACTTTATTTTGTTTCATGTTTTGCCTTCATTAGTATTTATTCATTTAATAATTTTTTGCATGCAAAGAAAAAAGCGTTGAGCATACAGTCAACTTTCCATACTTCAGCAAATTGTCTAATACTTTACACTTCCCCTGTTAGTTTTGTTGGGCTTAAAACTGCTAGTTTTTGTTGTTGATATTTATTCAGGAATTTAAAGCAAGTGGCAAAGCGCTAAAATTACACATTTCTGGGAATAATTTCTTTAAATTACATAATGTATCCACATCTGATTTGTACAAATAAAATAGACATACTTCATCGAAATTTAGTCAGAGAATTATGCATAGTAGATGGGGAATTCTCCGATCTCTGATGCTTCATGAAACCCCTGTGTCACAGATGTGGACAAGAGCTTGTTTGGACATGTGCATGTTTTCCTGAGCTAGGAAGTTACTTGTACTAGTACCAGGATAGAAGACCTCATATCACATATTTCACATGGTAGTTTTTTATGTTTTTGTTGACTCAATGAAGGATGCCTTGCAAAATTATGATAACATCTATGTAACTGAGAGTGGTGAAAGCCAAAAGAACAGAAATCTAATGTACATCAGTAACTAACCATCAGTGAACCTGTCTGCCACCTGTTGTTCCAAGATTTATAGTGACAAGGTGAACTAGCTGATCACTAAAATAATTTGGCTCTTAGTATTTTTTTGTGGAATTTAGCCCTTTTAACTCAAGGATTAATGCTATAGTTGTATGTCAAGATTCTTCTTAGGAGTGTAGAGGTCTCCTCTAATTTTTGGAATTAGATCTTGGTACAAATCTTAACAGAAGCAAATACTGTTGGTCTTTGGTGACTGCTGCATATTACAGGGTTAAATTATGCCAAAAATTTGAGCTATAGGCAGTGTGGCCAAGTGGTCAGTACATTGGACTTGCAATCTGGCAGTCTCCAGTTTGAGTCCCATTCTGGCCACTTGCTGGATTTGTTCTTAGTCATCCCAAGTACAAATCCTTGGCCACTCTTTAAACTGGTTGCCTCCTACCAGTTGGGTTTTTAAATCCTATTATTTTATATTTGAATTATTTGTTTCTAAGTATTTGAGTGGAGTGCCCGTAAACTAGCTGGATAAGCTAGGTGCACTTTCCACTGTAAACAAACCTTTAAACCTTTATAGATTGATGACTTGGTTTCTGGTACATGCACCCTGATCATGGTGGTTTTTGAGTTTCTTCTATGTATTTTGTGTAATCCAGCAGACAAGTTAAGAAGTGTATTTAGCAAGTAGGCCATTTATAACAAAGCAATTACTACATGTAACCAGAATATGAATTTGGCAATATTCAGTTTATAAATTGATGGCCCATAGATGCATAGAATCAGCATCTTAACATGATGTTTTCGCAGTATTGAAAATAGATTTACCAGCCAACATTAGAAATGGTTGGCTTTACACACTGTTACATAATACAAATATGTGCTTCTGAAGGGAGTTCAACAGTTAAAATTGTTAACAATAATGAATAAGTTAGACTAGTTTAGACTTTTGTAATCACCTTTTTTATTTAAATAATGTTTCATCTAGATATGTACTCTAAGAGTAACAAGTGCTCATCAATAGAGCTTTTCTTTTACTTTTCTTTTTTATTTTCACAGTTTTAAAAAACATGCATATAGTTATAGCTAGGTGAGAATCAGTAAAATAAATAAAATATTGTAATCAATTTGTTGTAGGTTGACAGCCAATAATAGGGGAGTGGTTATAACATTAGCCTGCGTCGCAGACATAATTCAGCCTCAGTAACATCTGCTAAGCAGCCGTGAGATCCTTGCTCTGGGCCCCCAGCAGACTCAAAAAATTACTGAAAGTGTTTTTCGAATTCCCTTTCATCCTGATTGGAAAATCGACCATACTTTTTAACTGGCTAATCATGGCACATGCGCAAATCCTGGTACACAGGTGGGGGCCCAGAACAAGGATTTTGGCGCTGTTTCACAGACAGACTTAACCAGAGTTACGTTTCGTCTGTGGCACAGGCTATCATAAAGTGTACTCAAGAAGGACCAAGTTTCCCTTCCAATGAGGCTGATGGATACAGATCTTAAGCTTAAAAATTTGGAGATTAAGCAAACATTTTGTATGTGTGAATAAACTGCACAGGGATATTAAATTTCATACTTCATGCTACGCGCACTGTGATTGGTCATTGCCCGTGACCTATTAGAGTACAGATACATGATACGTCAAAGGAAACTTGTTTTCTTTGTTTGTTCAACATGGCGCGTGGTTTTGAAAATGTTTGTGAAATTATTTTGGATTTTAAAGCAAGTGAAAGCCTCAAATATAGTTTAGCTGGAGCTATTTACAAAGAAGAAAAATAGAGAAACAGAGTCAAAAAGAGCTCTTGACTACTTAAGAATATCTTAACTACAAGAAATCTTCACAACAGTTGTCATCATGTGTCATCGCCACGAGAGACTCGCTGTTTATCAAAATGTTTCATTCTGCTTTGAGCAAGAAAAAACGTTGAAAAACTTTTCAAAGAAACTGTATACAAGTAAAATAAAGAAAAATAGGAGAAGCGGAGACAAAAAGTAGCGTTTGGGACTTAAAAAATGCCTAAACTAGCACAAATCCTTGGACAGTCAAGTGGTAGGAAGCAGGTAAGCTTATGTGTATCGGTCCTCTTTCTTTTCTGATCATTGTATAAAACAAATGGATTCCATGTTGCGGTGAGTCTGTTCTGTAATAAATCACAGAGGACGTCAAAATGTGGTAAAGTATGGTTTTTGATGGTGGGAATGAGGTACATAAAGTTGCCTCTATTCTGTGTAGTGTTAGGTTTTGTCTTTGGTTTAATTTTGAGTACTTTGCATAGCCAATGAAAGGCTTTTGAGGATCCTAGCCTGTACATGGCTGAGTGGTGCAGTGTGCAGATTGCATTGGTGACAACCAATACAGAAAATGTACTAAAATCAAAAGTACTAGAAACATCAAAATAATTGTGAGTTGGACAGTTTTCAATTTGCAATTTTCAATTACATGACTGGGGTAAATGACAGCTTAATGGTTAAATAAACAAAATTGTCAACTTTGCCGAAATTTGGGAGCCTCCGAGGCAGCAGTTCGGCTTCTTTGAACATTGGTGGAATTTTGGCAATTGGCAAAAAATTGGATAGAATTTTCAATGTGGTGTCGCACTTATTTTTTGTCATGTGTTGACAGATCGGGTGCTTAGATAAACAAAATTCGCTCTAGTGCAGCCCGGGCCAAATGCAGCCAATGGTTGACCCACAGATTGTTGATAGGTTACCGACAGTTGATTGCATTAACATTAAAATATACAACTGATGGCAGATGTCAGCCATGAACAGTTATTGTTTTTATGATAAAACAATGGCATATGTTAATCATATATTGTTACATCCACCATATTATTTCCTTTGCTTGTGCCACAATAGTCTTGGATTAAAATCAGCTTAGTGTGATCTTATTTATATGTAACATAACCCTATACTGAGCTTGAACAATTTTGGATTCAGATCATATTAAAACTGTATAACAACTCAAGTCTCAAGATTAATTCACGGCAGCTTTGACTGCATATCACAGTCTCCAGGAATAACTGAGTTGGTGTTGTCACGAGGTTATGAGAAGTTACTAAGTAAATGTGATGACAAGTGGTGCAATCAAAAGCTTCACTGCTTTAATGCTATGAGACCTTAAGATTATAGGAAATTCCACCAATTTAGACTATTTCGAGAGGAAAGAAATTTTACCATTAGCAACGGACAACAGACTGGAGTCACAGCGTGTTAATCTAGGAAATTATGCTCTGATACATCAGTTTAACGTTACTGCATGGATACCTTCAGGGGTGTCTCGCATGCAAACAATGTTGCGGTTAAACTGCAGATACCTATATTCCTATATTTGAAGTTAAAGCTTATTGAACTGCAGCGTGCAAAGAAAGTAATGTTCGATAGCCGGCGGCTGGTGTATTTTTCTATCGGGCTAGTGAATTCTGTTTTTAACTTGCCCGATAGGCAAAAGATGTTTTTTGAGGAATTCGAATAACAGAAGAACTGTGAAATCAATTCTGCGCGTCAAAAATCTTTTGGGCCTAGTTGAAATGACGATTAGGTTGTGAAAGTGATTTTCTTTGCACCCTGAACTGGCTAACTTAATAAACCAAAAATTTTTAAAAAACTTGCATAATTTGTCTATTTTTTTTAATTATATATGTGTGAGGGTCCTGATCATCTTTTGAAAACTAAAACTCTAAGGTAATTTGATTATAGTTCTTTTTTATTCTAGTCTTTTGGCAGTCAAAACACTAAACACGTGGATTTGCAAAATTGTGATGAACAGTTACAGAGTGACCAGTTTGGAAAGATGAGGGCTAAAAAATGTTTGATGTTTGATGCCCCTCCACACAAAAGTATGAAGAAAAAAAGTTCCCAACACATTTCTGTTGCTTACATTTTAAAAAAGTAACATCCTTCAAAAATCCAGGTCATTCGAACAAATTCACTTTGATTTTCAAAAGCTGATTCGAACTCTCACATTAAAAAAGTCAACATGCAGTGCAAGTTTTCAAAAAGTTGTTGGTTTATCACGATAGCCTGGCTAAATTACCAGCCGCTGTTTGGGTTATGAGCCTGTGCTCCCCCCCCCCACCCAGACATGGAGGACCCGGAGAGAGCGGCGGAAATCGAGCCCACAAGATAGCCAGTTCAAAAGCTTTATGACGGAATCTATCAGGAAATTGAGTAATTTTAATTTTCGGTGGACAAAAACCTTGTACCAGAACAATTTAAAAAATATCACTTTTTTTTTTTTGCATTTTTCAACGGCTATAGATGTAATTAGTTATCTGTAATCAGGGGTGGATCCAGGATTTTTTTTAGGAGGGGGTGCACTCGTCTCTTGCTCTACTTCAACACCAATAAACCACACAGTTTTTTTATTTTTTTGCAGAATACCAGTTGTATTAGAAAACCGCAGGTCATCTCAGGAGGGGGTGCGCACCCCCTGCACCCTCCCCCTAGATCCGCCCCTGGTAATAACACCAAAGAAAATTTCTTAAAGAAACCTGAGAAAATATAAATGTTAAATTTCACAAAATGACATCGTACACATGAAATTTTCAGAATTTTTTCCTGTGTTCTCACAATTCTTGTGACATTTGACATTTATTTTCTCAGGCTTCCATGAGAAATAGTCTAATTGGTGTTATTACAGAAAACTAATTAAGCTTTTTCCCTGCCCCCCCCCCCCCCCCATTCCTTATCCCACAAATGAGCAACCTCATTCCCAGGGTCCTCTCCTCCTAAGCCCCCATGGCCTTGATAATTACACTGAGGGCGAAATACCATGACCTTGTCCTCCTCCTCCACCACCAACACCTAAAAAACGCTGATGACTAAAAAGCCAGACATTTTAGTCTCAAAATTTAACCACAATATTTATTATATGATAATCATAGCAATGAAGATGACACCATTGTCCTAGGTGAAACATGGCCGGTGGTGCACTGGCAATGAAGGAATTAATGTTGAGTGATAGTGACAGAGTGGATGTTGATGAGGGTGATAGTAGTGACACTGAACTAGAAAGACCAGCGAAAAGTATACAGGACTTGAAGTGGATGGAGTACCACACGTTTTGCTTTCCATTGATTAACGGATTAATGAACTTTAGCACAATATCTCTCCTGCCAAATAAATTCAGAATAAAATTTCAAATGAAAATTTCAGAAAGAAAGCAAGGGTGGCACAGTGTGAAGAATGCTCGCCTACCACCAATATGGCCTGGGTTCAAATCCCGACCTTGATGCCATATGTAGGTTGAGTTTGTTGTTGGTTCTCTCCCTTGCTCCAAGAGGTTTTTCTCTGGGTACTCTGGTTTTCCCCTCTCCTCAGAAACCAACACGATCTTTAACTACTGTAACCTGTTCCAGGGTTCAGATCAAGTGGATAGCACAAAGAGATGTGAGCAAAACACAAAAAAAAACAGCGAGGGGGTGGGGTGGGGGTGAGAGCAATCCGAGTGCCTGGAACACGCTAATATGGAACGCACAGACACGTTAAACTAGTTCATAAGAAATCCTAAGCACTTTGTAGGTAAACAAATTACTAATTACATTTTTTTACAATGGAGAACATCACGTTTACACCAAACCGCAAGCACTAATTTGTACCATGTGACCATCAAGTTTTCCCATTACTTGTCGCTTACTGTTCATTGTTTCTACACAGATATTAGTAGCTTCACACAATTTTCTATCCGTAAAAATTGTTTTGAGCTGTTTTTATCTGCTCAATTTAAATTTTTTTTCCACTTTTAAATAGTTTAACGAGTTACGAGTGTGTTATGTAAAAGAGAGTCGGAGTCATGTTACAAGCAGTCGTTGAGACTTCGTATGAGAAGTAAAATACTAACTGCGAACCCTAAATATCATTATTCTTACTTATTTTTCTATAGAATAAATAAAGGTGACTTACCTTTGATTTATTCTTGTGTTTTTTGGTGTGAGTTCATCAATTTAGTCGGTTTTTTTCCGCTTTCATACGGGTAACATACGAGTCACATACGAGTACATACGAGCAACATACGGGTAACATACGAATACATGCGGGTAAAAAAGTAAAAGTATTAAAAGTAAAAAAGTACCACTCAAAGCAGGAACACCAGGCACATAGGGAACAGGAACACCACCACAAGAAAGAAAGAAAGAGAGAAACAGATGAAAGAGAGAGGGAAAGACAAGACAAGAAAGAAAAGACACGGAGAGAAAAAAAAAAGGAGGACAAGGACAAGAAAAGACGAAAATAAGAAATTAGGAAATAAATAGGATAAAGGAAGGAAACAACAGAAAGTGTACACTGGCCAACAGTCTGCGCACCCTATCGCGCTACGTTAAACGGTCAGTGAAGCTGGGAATTTTTTGCTCAAGCGATTTCATGGCCTGCAATGAAAGAAAACCTTTCCTTAAACCGATTTCCCACCATTTCCATACAATAAAGAGATAGTAAAAATTATTGAAACAAAAAAACGAGGAAGAAGAGGAGAAAAAGATCCCATACAGCTTTGCGCCCACGTGCTTGGTAATCCGATACTGTTATTCATCGGACGGCTTCCCACTGTTCGTGGGGCGTGCCCTGTTCGTGCAGACAAGAAATCGGAGAAATAACCGGCTGAAAATACAGTTCGTTCATAGTCACCGATTAACGAACATTAATGTGGTTCATTATACTGGCCATAAAGTTTTTCTATGAAATATCACTGCATGAGCATATCTTTATGTTACAGTTTTTTTAAAGCCTAATTTTATACGCCGTCCTTTTTTGTACTTTTTACTAGATTATTTCAGTTGTACATTATCGATTTATTGATGTC